TCAGCCCTTGGCAGGGGTTACTGTCTAAATATGTCACACTCACCTCATCACCATTTCCAATGACACAGTGGGGTCATCGAATTACCGTACATTTCAAAAATGGATTGAGCGCAAATTCCATCTGAAAGTATCTGACAGTGTTGTTGGAAAATGTTGGAGACTGTGAAAGTATTTTGGGACCTCCATGTTAGTGTTGCTTTAAAGGCCTTCTACACTTCTCTCTAGTGACAACCCTGTCCTTACGCCTTTTGCTGCAAAAGCCTTTGCCTTTGCTGCCTTAGCTTCATCCTCCCGCTCCTGACAAAAGCGAACAAGTCAGGGTGATCGTTTCAATCTCACTGCATTAGAATGATCCGACTTGGACTACGACTTGAGGCAAGCAGCAAAGATTAACGAAAGCTAGGGCAATCAGTTGCGAAAGTGCATCACTGTGCAGTTCTGGTTCAAAGAAGCAACTACTCTATGCCTAACCGCAACGGCCAACTACCATTGTCATGTATTGGCAATGTTCCTCACTGAGGGGGCAGAAGAGAAGCGGGGGATTCTAATTGATGAAAGATCATTGTGTTGGCCTGAGGTCTTCCCTGTCTTGCTAAAGCAACAACATAGTCAGCTAGCTAACGTCGGCTTTCAAGGCAACCCCGCAAGGCAAAGGAAAAATGCCGTCAGTAGTTCTGCGCGCTGCATTCTTCCGAGCTGCATCGGGCAAACAAGTCAGCCCTTCTGAACCACTCTCGTATATTCTGCTATTTGCTGCTATATTTGTGTTGTTTGTGTGAATATAATTGTATAAATAAATACATATATATATATATTCGCATGTCATGCATGTACATGCATCTTCGTGAACGGCTTCCATCCCACTGCTGGAGTTGAACTCATAAATTGAAGGCTTGAAGGAGGTCGTTTTGTGGAACCCAGCTCAGCTCAGCTCCTTCATCTCCTGCTTGGCCATGGCCCCAATACTTTGAATTTGCGACACCAGGCTGTTCTCGCGAACCAAAGTGGCTTCGCCCTCACTGTGCTCACTGCCAGTTGACTTGACCGAAAGCCTTGCGAACATCGCACAAGTACCGTAAGTACATCGCCAAATCGCCCAAATCTGAAATCTAAGTCGAAATCCTGAGAAAAAAATGCAAGCACACTGTGTCAAACCTTCCTCACATCATTGACAAATCCGACACCTCAATGGAGGGGATAGCGGGACAGCGCTCTACGGGCTCTACGTGAGTTGGCCCCAGGCCCCCAGTAGAAATTGACATTTGAGGGAAAATATAAGACGTACAATATTTTCCTGGCCTGCTTTCACTTCTATTCATCTGTAATTTGCGGTATTCTTTTCCATCTCCTGACCGTGCAATCTTCTTCGTGCAAAGTAAATCAGACTCTAAACAGTATCCTGTACACAAGGTCGCACACGTCGTCACATTTCATATCATAATAGTTTAAGGCTTAAAAATGCTTAAGGTGCCTAAAGGACGTCACATCACATCATCATCACATCTATACGTTCTTAAACCTCGTGTTAGTTGGCCTCTGTCAGGAACTGCTTCGCCACCATGACCTTCAGTGGAAGGTGTTGGACCTTCTTGGGTGCCAGTTGCAGCGATTGTTACTCGCTTTGCTTCTTTTCTGTCCTCCTGTGGCTCCTCAGCAGACAAACAGACCTCCTGAGGCCTAGGGCCTGGGTAGATCTCGGTTGTGCATGTGTTTGACGTGCATTTTGTCGATCATAATCGAAAGGCCCCAAGATGTCTTAAGCCCAAGCTCCTCTAAGCGCAACCAAAGCCCGGTTCGTAGGAAGGTCAGCATGGACATGCACAAACAAGCAAAGTCTTGCAGCTGAAACTTCCAGTGCCCCGCCTCTGGCTGTAGCTCCTCAACCTCCACATCCTCTTGTGGCTCCAGCTTTCTATCTGCAGCCTTTCATGCGACTGTTCTCCTAGTTAGTACAAGGGCTTGTCACAAAGCAACACGCCTGAGCGGGGAGATGGTCCACACTGGCGTTCTTGTGATGCGCGTGGTCGTCAGTGACGTTCTCAGTGGCACTCCCGTTTTTGTGCACTGCATCTCCTGCAGCTCTGCGTGAAAGGTCAGTTGGACACATCTACAAGTTCAAAGATCTTGATTCCACACAGATCCCGCATGTGGCTTCCATTAATCATCATTAATCTATATTAACCTTATGCTCTTGACCTCGAGTTGATGTCCTGTCACCTCTTTCGCCTCTTCGACAAGTTCGAGTTCCACTGCTGGAGGCACCGCATTGTGCACCAACTTCTGCAGCTTCGCCCAGCCACCACGCACCGGCTTCGCCGGACTCGCTGGACTCGTTGGGCCGTGCGCCTGTGCGGCGACCTGCGGCGCTTCGCCGGAGGCCGCCGAGGGCGCCGCCTTGGACTCTTTGGACTCCACATCTTTGGCCTCCACCTCTGTGATGAAAACGCCTCACCAAAGTGAAAGGGTGATATGGGGAGTAAATCCAAAGGAAGAAAGCCAAAACATGCTAAATGACTGTTGGCAGTTCTTCATATGTTGCAAGTGTTTGCAGGTTTCGTCAGCACATCCGGCCTACTGAACCGTAGAGGATCAAATAGAATTTATCACCACGGTCACCTTGCTTGAATACAGTGGAGTCACGAGGGGCACCTTCGAGCTTCAAATACCGACAAACTTGCATCCTTTCCTCAGCATGACGTATACAAAGTATGGACTTTGCGCGGCTATGAATTCAATCGGAAAATTGATGTTGGCCCCTAGGCCACAAATCAAACACAACTAGCCTGGTTGCATTGCACTGCAGTTGTTTGCATGCACACTTGGCAAAGTGGCTAAGGCTCTCACACACACAGTGTCATTCCAATTCAATTTCCCCACTCCAAAATATGGCAAGCATCATTTTCACCCAGATCCTGAAAGAACTTGGTCTTGCCCAAGCTTGCCGCAAAGGCCTTCACATCCTCTGGAGTTCGTTCATTTGGAGCCTTGCGGAGGATTTGCAGTTGCCGCTTGAGGATATCCTTGTTGGCACCGCCGAGGTCTACCATAAGCCAGGCGCCACCATGGGGATCACGTCAACAATTTCAAGCCATGGGCGCAAATCCGAAAATGGAAAATACTAATTGATCCACAAAGGTGGCCCAGGCACACAGGGCCCGACTCAGGTGCTTTACAAGTTACTTTTGATGTTCAGCGCGTTCAAGAGATGCTACCATGATAACATTTCAAGGTCAATGGCTCGCACAGTAATACTGTAGCACACTGATGTAACATACTGTATCCTGTACATCTAGGAAAAGGATGGTAAAGGCAACATATCACAGTGCCCTCCTCTGGCCCCTCTTTCGCAACTCGCTGAGTTTTCCAGCGGCTGGGCCAAGGGCTGCAGTCACCATGGTATCTGTTTTTGTCGATCTGTGTAATACCCAGGTTGGCAAACCAAGGACTTAGTCTGCTGATTTTCTGTGGGCCTAGTCCTCTGGCCAACAACACCGGATGGGCGCAGTGAAGCAAAAAGGTTCCCCCGCTGAACGGGTAGCATGAACCTCATGTACAGGACAACCTCTGGCTCACTTCCAGCTGCACCAGCTTTAGGGCTCACAAGGGCATCGCTACTGTAATGCGCTTGTTACTACGTTACAACTTGTTATATACTACTAGCGATGGACTTGTTACTGCCGTAGAAGCTTCTTGCTATTACTAGAAACGCACTTGTTACTACAATTTGTTACTACTAGCGATGCACTTATTACTGTAGTAGCTTCTCGCTACTACTATTAATGCACTTGTTACTACAATTTGCTACTACTAGCGTCGTGATACTACTAGTGACGCACCTGTTACTACTAGCAATGCACTTGTTACTAGTAGCTTCGTGCTACTACTAGTAATGCGCTTGTTACTACTACGGTACTGGGTATGGACGTCGGCTGACTACTGTTCTGTTACGTTGACATGTACTTTCCCAGTGCCTTTTCGAAGTTTGCGTGCGCCTGCCGTGGGTTTTGCTATGTGATTCACTTTGTAGAAAAACACATTGTTTTTTTGTTCAACGAAACGAAACGTACCAAAAATTGATTTTTGCTGGGAGCGCCATGCGAAAGTGAACAAGGCACTGGAAAAGGCACTGGGAAAACACATGGAAAGAGCGTGGTGAAACTAAAGTGGTGGTTGCGTGTGAGACTTCTTCCAAATGTGATGAACATATTTATTTTCCACATGTTATTTACAGTCTTCAGTATCGCTTTTGTACCACAAACAATGAAAACAAAGAGTAGACTTGAAAACCAAAAGTATGCAAACGTCACACCTTTAAACAGTAGATTGACCAAATATTCAAACCCCCCAGTCGATGACTGTCACCAACCCCCAACCCCCAAAGCTCAATGTTGAACATAACTTCATTGGGTTCGATTTGTTTCGTCCATTCGCCGAAACACTCTGGCAGGCTCACTAACTTTGAGTTTTGGGGTGGAAGGGGTCCAAGCGGTTTGCAGGGTTTTAATATTTTGTCCATCTATGGTATTGGTGCACTTGTTACTAGTAGCTTTTAGCTACTACTAATAATGCACTTGTTACTACTAGCGATGCACTTGTTAGTACCAGCTTCTTGCTACTACTAGTAATGCACTTGTTACTAGTAGCTTCTTGTTACTACCAGAAATGCACTTGTTGCTACTAGCGGTGCACTTGTTACTAGTAGCTAGTGCAGTACTACGACTAGTACTGCATTTGTTGCTACTAGCGATGCACTTATTACCAGTAGCTTCGCGTTACTTCCACTTGTTACTAGTAGCTTCTTGTTACTTCCAGTAATGCACTTGTTACTACTAGCGATGCTCTTGTTACTATATAGTAACATAGTAGCTTCTTGTTACTTCCAGTAATGCGCTTGTTACTACTATCGATGCACCTGTTACCAAGGCATCATGTTGCATCCGAAAGTTTTGTACCCCATGGAGTTACCCTGGTCTCTTCAGGCTTCGAACGTGGCTTCAGGCCTCCTGTGCAGCTGTGAAAATTATGCCGCAAATCAGGGACACCTCACAGTTGCAGGGAAGGCACTACAAAATGTACAGGCGTGTACAAGCAACAGTTATTAAAATTTCCAAGCAGCTCGGGTGGAAGACTCTCGCAAGCATAATGCGGAAAGGAATATTTGTATTATTCTAAAATATATTTTTATATACATATAATATTGGCCATGTGCATTTACATGCACACATTTGCACATAATTGATTGCACATGCACATGTAAGTTCCGCGCAGCGCCCTGTAGAACCACCAGCACCTGACCATCCTTGGTGTTGGGCACTTTCGAGTCAACACATGTCAAATAATGCAACAGTCGTTAGGTCCAGGCAGAAATCGTGGACCCCCGCAATGCCTTGACACTCAAGATGGTCTTGGCAGCCCTGAGCATCGGGTGGATGGTGGAACCGACAGGACACAGCTTGGAGTTGAGAGTCTGAACGCTCGTGTGTTGCATTGTCAAGGTCGTACCACAATGAAAACTGCTGGAAACCTAAGAGTTGATCATCGCTATTGAGGCGCCAACTCGACTGCAGTGTAGGCCTCGCTGCAATCGGTGTGACTGAGACTCTGTCTTGTTCGAGGCTGTTGCCATGACTGATTCGAACAACTTGTTTGCATGCAGCTGTTCCATACAAATCATGTTGAATCTGAATCATGGTGACTGACATTGACTGAAGCAAGGATAACCCCCTGCATTTGCTCCAAAACCTACAACCCTTGTGAAACGCAGCATTAAACCTAACAACTGGATACAACTGGTAGTTCGACTTAGACATTGAGATTCTTTCTGCTGGGGCTTCCATGACCAAGTTTGAGGTGGATTACACGACAGGAGCATTTGCCATGCCCGCGAGCTAGAAATAGCTAGATCTAAAAGCATCGCTTCTGCGAGCTAAGAGGCAAGAACCAAGCCGATAGTAAAGCCTGTCCCAATCTTGGCACGCCGCCTGGACGGACCCGGCAGCTGAAACCCGACATCCACGTGCACGCACACACACACACACAAATTTCACATGAACAAAACGTTGATGAAAAACAAGAGTTAAGGCAAAGAACGACGCATCGATACAGCTTCCATGTTTTGTTCAAATCGGCTCTAAAGAACAACTGTTGCAACTATCCATGCATCAAGACCATCTTTACAGAACAGGGAGAAGGTAAAAAATTCTGGCAAATGCTAGCAACCCCCGTAGCAGCATCCGGATACTGGAGATTCCAACAAAAGTCGGCGTTTCCCTGAAACTAGATCTATCTCCCGTGGACACAAGGAATCCGACAGAGAAGTCAGTCGAGTCAGTGCTGGTCAGAACTCATGGACACTGTGTTGACCCTCACCTGCTATGATTTGGTGGGGAAGGCTCGAACAAATGCGACTGGAGCGGGCAGTACAGTTCCATGACATTCCCTAGCATCGAGACTGCAAAGCCGAAAAGCTTAAGCTTCACCCCTGTCGGCAAACTGAGGCGGGGTAGCCAAATGCGAAAGTTCTCCCAATCACTCTGTCTGCGACCTGAAATGTACAACAATGCTCAAGCAGAATGGGGATACAAAAAGAAGTAAAATGAGAACAACAACCACATGCTAAATTACTGTTGATGACCAAGGGTCCAAGGGGTGTCAGGGTGTCAAGCGCGTTGAATCAATGATAATTGAAACAATTGAAAACCAAAGGCATGTTTTTTTGAGTCCTCGGCCTCGGCCTGTTGAGCTCAGGTCTTGTTGCCTTGGTGGGGCTGATGAGCTCTCTTGGGGCGCAGCTGTGAGTCAGAACCTGGAAACGTGTTTTCGGGCCACCCGTGCTTAAAATTAATATATATATATATATGTTTTTATTACAGTATATATTATATATTGTATTTGTTTTATTTATATAGGTATATATATATAGGTTATATAGATAGAACCCGTATGAACCCGTAGCATATTGTTCACAAATAATTGCTGTCTTGTAGTGTAATGCTTGCTGCTTGCTTCTTCATCTATTTGTCTTTTCCTGCCTAGGCTGAATGACAGGGCTATACATCCAACGCAACATGTTACAAACATGTCAGTCATGACATGTCAGTCATGACATGTCCATAAAATCTCTGAAGCTGAGCTCCATGCAGTTCATCTGAGACACGAAGCAATCCCAGGTCAAAGCTTTTGCTTCGAACTGGGACCTGTTCCCTGCGGAAGCGTTAAAAAACAGGCATGTTAGGCCTTTTGCTGGAAAGGTGTCAAACGTAAATGTTGGTCGAGGGGCCCACTGACAAGCACTGGTGCGAGGACCATGGTGCTGGCACCACTGTGACAAATGTTCGACCACACCCAGAGTTCGGTCAGCCCAAACTCAAAAAAGTGTGCAACAAGTAGCAGGTGGCCATACCACAGATGATAGTTGAGTAATGCTGTTCAGCGCCACAAACAATAGATCAGCAAGCAAGTCAAGTCCAAAGTGTGCCTGTCTCCCACCATGTCTGGGGCAGCAATGGGCAAGGCATACCTGGAGATAGCCCAAAGCCAAGAGGGCGGACATGATGAAATGGTCAAGCACGATTTCTAAGACATTTTCAACGAAAGCCGTACGATACTCTGTTACATTCTGTTACGATATCTTACAGTGGGCCCGCATTCCATGAATACGGTGGTTCTTGTGCCGGGGGCATGCCACATTTTGAGGATGGTACGCACCAAAGACTCTGGTGGATTCGACCTCGGCATTCTGAACAAAGCAGCTGCTCCTTTAAACGTCAATCTGTTGGGTAGATTCGAGTAGATCGATGCAGTGGCACAAGGGACACAAACTAAGGTCACTGGCCGTCGCTAGGTTAGTATAGGTCAGCTCATGATGAGTGGGATTAAGGGCTTTCGAGCACTTCCTCAAGGCCTGCCAATGATATGAACTGTGGAGACTTCTGTCATTCTGTCCTACGGCTGCTTTCTTGCGCTTCGCTTCTACAGTATCATCTTCTCCCACAAGCCCTTCAGGCACGTGCAGGAGGAGTGAAAGAGAAGCTGTGCGGAGCTGAATCCCTGAGCGGCAAGTGGACACACTGCGCCCAGAGCTGTCCATGCTAAAGCCTTGAAGCGTCACATCAAGGTGGCAGAAGGAGGATTCATAAAGGAATCAGTCGGTAGAGGAAACATATATAATATGACCGTCGTTCCCTCAACTTTGGTTGTTAGTTGCACCCGCTATTAGGTTGAACTGTGACTATTAGGTTGGAGGCCATTGGTTGCTATTATATTAGGTTTGAATTCTTGCTTGACCCCAAAAAAACTGTTCTTAAAAAGTAGAAGTGCAAGCCCAAGCTCCCATTTTCTCACATTCCTGTAGGCTTGGTCCACAGAATGGAGAACGTGCAGGCGTAGGTTGGTAGAAGCCCTGCCACCGATGCTTTAATCTAGTCATCTAGTCAGCAGAATTATCCATGTCAAATTCCCATCCACAAATACACCAGTGCTAGATCACCTTGCACAAGCAACTGCACCCCCCCAAGCCAAAAGGAAACTTCTGCACCTCACGCCTGAAACATACCGAAACTTAAGAAAGGAAGTGACCGAGTCACCTGCAGCAATGCTCAATTCATGACCTCAAAGTACGCCACTGAGGGCCGAACGATCTCAAGCGGCCTGATTGCCTGGCCTCGCACTAGTAGTCACTAGTGAAAACTTGGCAACAAACACAGTTGACGTCGCTGATCGCAGTCCAACCATGTTTCGTCTGTTCTGCTCTAGGACGCCTGCAAGTGTAGGGTCCTCTAGTCCAATGCCACCAACCCCAAATTATGCAAATTGATGCTGAAATACCTTTGCTCCTAGTAGCGTCCTTGCTCCCAATCCAAAAAGAATTGCTAATCAAATCTGCCGCAGGATTCGCCTGCCTGGAGAGCTGAATCGAAGGAGCTCCACAAGGAAGGGCTCCAAGTCCTGGGGCATGCGACACCCCCAGCACGACCAAGTTGTTGCTTTGGACCACACGGGCCGCCAAGCGGATTGCAATGTAGATTGATTGCATCATGATGCATCATGCATAAGGAAGCCCTTGAGAATGACAAAAAATGGGGGCCACCTTGGTTTGATGCCACGCAAACCTCAACCTTTGTGCTAAGAAATGTTGCAGATCAAAAGCAGCTAAACACAAACTCAAATCTGGGACTGGAGCACTTCTGTAATCACCAAAGAACTGACAAACAATTGATGAGAAGCGGTCCACGCATGCCAGTAAAGTTGACGAAGCACTCGAACAAAAGTACACAGTATCAGGGCGGCTCATGATTTCGATAGACCACTCGCACAAAGGCGAGGAAAGCACATGAAACCACGTGAGGAGGAAAACAGTCTCCAAACATTTATGGCATCCATTCAGCATGAAGCTTCAAGCTATACCTTGCTTGAAGGCACTTTCAATGCGATACCTCTCTCCACTATTTGTTGAATTTCGAGGCTCTTGTCACCAGCAGTCGCCAAATGTTTGCTCTGCCAAGCGGATCGTTGAGTCTGTTGAGTCTAGAAACTGCGTATCGCAGGCTGCTCTTCAGCCACGACTTTGGTGCGCTGCCAGCTTTAGCAGCGGGTCTTTGCGAACTCCATCATCGTTCTTGTTCCAATGGTCCACTTGGGCGGATCTTTCTCTTTACCTCGTAAACAAATGGCAACATCATTGGCTCTGATTCTTGTGCTCATGAGAACTCCATTTTCATCTTAGAAGGAGCTACTACAAATTCGAAACTCTGCAGCCAAGCAGCTGAGCTTGCACATCCCCATGCTGTATGCCTTGTTTGCGTCATATGATCCAGGTCCCGGCACGCTGTTTTCAAGACCAGGATTGAAAAGCTTTCCTTCCTTCAGAAATCGTGGCCGTCTGGACAGAAGGACTCGGCCTCGGGACAACTGCATCCCTTGTAAGTCTGACTGGCTACACAAGCAGCCTCTGACTCCATAGGACTACAGAAAAGAAATGCAACTTGCAGAAGCAGTACTGCTTATGTTTTTGCTCCAAAGGGCACCGGACAGCCAAGGCAACGTCAAGGGCTTAATATAGACTTGTTTCAATTTCAATATGCAATCTTGTTGGCCCTCTCATTGGCAAAGGGCTTCTAACTTCTCCATATTAAACATAACTAAAAATCTCTAGCTGCAGGCAGCAGCCAGCAACATCATGCTAGCATGAAGTGCCGAGGAGCTGTTGAGAGGCTTTATGATCTCCTCGGTGTGGGTGCTGAAGCTGTAGCTGCCTTGCGGCAAGCATTGACGCGCACATGAAAATCCGGAGCATTCGCACCATTAGCAGCAGAAAAGCAAACCAAACAATCGATGTTGTAGATGGATCGGCAGAATTACACACCTGATGACATCCGAGGTGTATCACAATCATTCCACGAGTGGCTACTGGGCCATGCATGTGGCTTCACGGCATTGCCTTTGCCTATTTGCATGGATTTTTTGGGGGGTATCACAAGGTATCACAGGTTTAGCGCTTTGCTCCAAAAGCTTTATGAGTTGAAGTTGGAAGTGACAGCCCGGCCACAAAACAATAACAATTTTCGCACCTGGGCCGGGAACGGCCACATGATTTTGAGCCGCTGGAGATGAGGCCGCAATTGCACCGTGTTGACCTCGGGACAAGGCGGCAAGGCCGAAGCTATGCAGATGGTACGGTGGAAGCTCACAACTTGGTGGGTATATCAAGGCTAACACTTTCACTGACGCCTTCGAAACCCTTTGGGCAAGCCACACAATTGCCTCATTCGCACTTCTTCATCAATCACTTTTCGTGGGCTCTTCTTGCGAGAACCTGCCAGGGTGTCAGCGTAAAAATGCGGCCTTCGTTCCACGGAAGGGGTATTCTTCATAGGGAGCAAGGGACGAGATAGGACCGAGTCAAGTGCTTGTTTCGCTCATGGCTTCCGACGGCTCGCCTTTCATAGTCTCAGGCATGCTGCACAGGGCCAGCAAATAAATCCAGCACCCCTTGATCACTAAAGCTACGTATATAATGATCCAAGCCAAGCTGGTTCTCTGAAACTCTTTACAAAATCTTGGATCCGAACTCTGTTGACCACTTGAGTGACTTCAGTGAATACGCGTGCAAATGTGACTTTGGGACTGAGGAGTGGTGGCTGGCTGCTGACATGTTATCAGGCATGAGCTGCCTTTCTGCACCACAAAGAAGTGCCTGGTTCCAAAGTCTTCCCTGGGAGCTAGGTCCCAGTAACATGACACTGCAAGTCAACTGAAACGCCAGGTAAGAACCAATGGGGCAGTCCAGCGTTGTGTTGCAGCAGGGGAAGGCCTCAGGAACCATTACATTGCACAATCCTGGCATGAGAGCCCTAAGCCCCAGGGCATGTATCGAGAAATGCTCCAGTCAAAACTCTTGGCTCAAATGCTGAGTGGTGGATATGTAGTTGTTTGCACCAAAAACAGCCTTGAAGTCTTGAAGTAGCTGTGGTGATTCTACAAAAAAACGACCAAGTCTAATTAATGACGTGGAGGTGATCAAGTACGTCAAGTAAGTATACCTGTAGTATGGGAGTCGCATAGTTGACAGTTGAGAGTGCATGAAATGTACAACTGAGGCCCTTGCTCCTCAACGTCATCTCTACCTGGGCAAGGGATCCGGCTCCATCCATCAGTGGATTGACCACATGAGGCAAAGCATCAGCAAAGCTATAGTACAAAGGATCCAAAGTGCAAAACGAATCATTACAAATCATGACAATATGATATATATATACATACATATTATGTGCACATGTACAGATATATAATATAGAATGTACATATCTATATACATAAATATGTTTATAAATATATATATATATACATAATACACTCCATGTGCCAATTGCTCAAGTGTCCTATGCCCAAATCATCCAAATCGAGCACGTCTGGCCCGTCTGATGCCGCAATACGACTCCTTGCCAACAAGTTGCTTGAAAAAGGAAACGACACCGACATCTCCTGGGCAGGATGCGCAGCTGAAGTGGCGTGCAATTTGGCTACGTTGCACAATCGAGTCTGAAAGCATGTATCGCCAAAATGCATTAAACATTAAACAGCTAATAGATTGAGATTGGATTCAAAGTCCATTTCTGTCTTTACAGGAGCCCGGAGTCCACTACCAAAATCTGAGTGGCTGGCAGTTTCCCTTGCACTCATGGCGGCATGGTGGGTACTTGGTGTTATTTCACACTGCCCACTAGCATCAATGTGCATGTTTAAAAAGCAGCCAAATCTTGGATGTATAATATAACATCCGTGGAATAACGATCTCTCAGCCTGGCGATTTGGGCCAGTTGCTTCGTGTCTTTCATAATTCGGGGGTCAAAGTGAAACTTTAGTTGACCCAGTCAACTCCTCAAACTGAGCAGAATAGTCCATGGAGAAATGTTGCCCATGCAGTCAGTCATCCAGGGTCCACAAAAAAGGTCAACCTCGGGGTCTTGCTTGCGGTTGCACCCTGCACGGATCGGCTTCACATTGGGATACATAACTGGCTAGATTGGCGAAGAGTCGAAGAGAAATAATACCAACCAAACACGTAAAACACACGAAACACGCCAAGCACCCGGAGTTTAAAAGGATTGATGAAGCACAGTCGAAATTGGTTAGTCAGGCCAGTGACTTTATCCCACGATTGGTGCACGATTGTGCCATGCACAATAGGAACACGTTCGCTTGTCATGTCTTGCATTGTGTTGACCAGGCCTCTCAGTTTTCACCAATAGCTAAAAACGAGATCAATTGCAGAGGGTTCTCGGCGATTCAGGAAGCCGATAGCATTGAATACAAAGGACATGTGAATGTGTTCGACTCTGACCTAATCAAACTTTGTCAAGCTTTCCACTGCATTCTGAATCAGCCGTGAGACCCTATAATTGGTGAAACAAATCATTGAAGCCACTTGTCTTCAGGCGGCCACTTACTTTTCAGACGGCTTGTAGGACTTTCCAATGAGCCACCCTCAGATCTCTCTCCCTTGCTTTTAAGGTCGGTGTTTGATCAACGCTCGGTGCCCTTGCATCAAATGTCCTACCTAGATCAGGAACCCCCCTTTCAAAGCTATTTTCGGTCAACGAGCGGCAAATAAACCAATACTGATCAATACGGCATGTTATAATTATAATGCAGTAGAAACTAATTCCAAATTGTAACTCGAATCAGGTGGGGCCTGCATCAAGACTTCACACCGCTGATTGCCTCACATGTGCCATAGTCTGCTCAATTGCTTTAAGGCTTTGGCCGCCCAATGCGCCAAACAGTTCCACGGCTGGCAAGACCTCAGCACTTACAAGTAGGATTCCATTACTGGAGGATGTTCTGGAACAAACCAAGGATGGAACAAAGGCAGCACACGACAACCCGACGCTACTAGGTCCAAAATGAAAAGCATCAGCTGCATCAGTTCATTGAATTTCAACCGGTCCAAAACAGGAAAGACGCAATCACATGGCTCCTGGCCTACTAGGAGCAATGACGCTACTGGGGGCTCCCGGCATTGCTACTAGGAGCAAGGACGCTACTAGGGGCTCCTGGCCTTACCACTAGGAGCAAGAAGCGCCGTAGAGTCAGAGTCCACAAGGTCCCCGCGAGAACGCGGGCCAAAAGTGCCGGAGGTTTGTCCGCGGTTGCAATCTGCAAACCCGAAAGCGAAGCAAGTTCAAAGTACTTTACCGGCCTGAGGCCAACTGCGAACACTAAAACAACTTGGGCATGTTTAACTATATATATACTAAATGATACTAAATGGCATCACCATGCATCACCATTCCGCATATCTTCTTTCGTTTGCACTTCATGCAAAAGATCGTGGACTCAAAGTGTGGGCTTTGACTTCAGAGGCTCGACCGGATTCACGACACACTCACACGTCTCACACACGCCATCCGGGTGCACCAGGATGGCGATCCGGGTCAAGCCATCAAGAATCAAGGCCAGGTTCAACGTCCTGGGCACGGTCCTCCTGCCTTGAACGGTCCACAGGCCATGTCGCTACATGTCACTACCGTTCCTTGTGTCTCGGCACCCCTTGCTCTGCTCTCTTTCAGTGTCCTGTAGGTCTCGGAGCTCAGCCGTTTGGGACCTGCCACTGCCGCTGTCTGACCTCGGCTTCACATGTGAGGGATGTGTGAGGCCAATGACTCCGTGACTCCATGGTCGGCGGAAATATGTATACAGTATCTATAGTTGTACATAGAACATCATAGAACTACACTATGGCATACTATGGCCAACAAGGGCTGCTTTTCACTGATTCATCGAGGGTCGCAGCATGTTCTATCTGCAGCGACCTTGCTTTGTACACGATTCGGCCCGTTCGCCGAAGTTCGCCCAAACCTGCAAACGGTGAGCAGTTCACGATCAATCAACTCCGCGCACAAGCAGAACCAATGACAGCACAAAAAAGTGAAGCTTGGTTTGAGCTTAGGTTTGAGCTAGGTTGTGTGTTTCGATTTTATCCGTATACTGTATGCAGCACAGATTGGCCAAATGCCAAATCATTCAACGATCGAGACTTCAATCATGGGCCAATTGGGCACGAATGGAATCCGGGTTATATAGAGCAATTAAAAAAGAGCATCTTCATACTACAAGGAAATGTAGTGTGATAGATCCTGTGAACTTTTATTTTGTTTATGCAGTCTATACTTGTTTAAGTCAAAGTCACCACTTTAATTTCAATCTGTTGGCTTCTCGATGGACTGCCATCGCCTCAAATCTCCACTCCAGCTTTGCGAAGGGAGGCCTTCGCGGCTGGCTTGCCCAGTTGCTCTTCACTGCGCTGTTTTGTTCCATTGGATTGTAAACATATTTGCAACATCTGACCACAAGACTCCAGCCAAAATACACAAACTGAACGTCTCTAAAGTGGAGCCGAATCTTCCAATATGGCCACTGGTGGCTAGGCTTACAGCTTGCATCAGCACCTTTGCTCTCTATTTCACTGATCATCCGGCAATCCAGCGCCAGTGCTTCCACCACTGTGCTGGGAATCCTGGGGATCTACATAGTTCAACTTTGACATTCGCTCTTGCCATCTGGGCCTGCATCTGTCCAGCAACCCGGTCTGAAGCATTTTTGCACATTTCCTTCAAGTCAATATGCCGCAGCATGCTGCAAAGATCCTCCCCACCACAATTCAGGAAAATGATCAATAATATGTTTTCTGGAAGGCCAACATCTGAACAAGGCTGTCGTGCTCATGAGACTGCTGCATGCTGCTGCCAATGTTTGTGCCTTGTAGTACTTAGTATGCATCCTTTGCGCATACACATGAATGTATAGTATGCAGTGTCAATATCCGCCGACCCCAGCGATGGTGGGGGAGCGCGCCAGAGATGTTCAGGCAGCGTCAGAACATTTTTGGTTTGGGTAATGCTGGCGGGGCTACGTTACAAGGCTGGCCAGAGACAGGGCAGCAACCATTCTGCACGTGGAATTGTATTAATATATATTATGCCTCGTAATGCCTTGTGAAAAAAACTGCAAAAACATGTTATACTACACACGTCGTGAAGTCAATTTCGTGCTATTCGGGAGTCATTTCATTACGTTCAGGTGTCGTGACTTTTTTGGGGTTGGAGGGGCCAAGGGATGGTGCTGCGGCCTCAACCTGTTTTGCGTGGCAATAGGTTGTGAGAAATAAATAACATGTATTGGAACACATACCGTGAGCATGTGTGCCTGTATTCTCGAATCTAGCACTGCTCTAACACTGACACTAAAATGGAACCAACAAAACTCCGAGCCCCTCTTTACGTGGCCATTGGCCTGTGCTCAGTGCTTGTGTTTTTCTCTTGCTTGCCCGGCCTCACAGTCTGGAAACACTCCTGCAAAGGGGTTTCATGTGGCTCGCTCTGAGGCCATGCGGCCAGCGTTGTTTTCCAATTTGTGGAGCATTTAAAGAGACCCGAAAAATGAGTTGCCTGGCTTACGACTTTGGAAGTTCAAAGGGTTTGTCACACTGGCCAGTGAGGTGAGGCGACGCGCAAGGTTTGTCGCCTCCAGGTGGTCCGATTTTTTGGCACAAGAAGTAGCTGTGCCAGAAAGAAAGCGAACTTCAGAAGCCAGTCTACTGGGATGTGATGCAAGACTGGTAATGTTGGATCACGATTAGTAAAGGGTGCCTCTATAATGCTAAATTTTTCCAAAATTATTCAGACCCCCCTGTTTGAAAAATGGTACCTCAATAATGCTAAAAAAATTGGGCCCTAAATTTTTATAGTGGAAACCCAATAAATCAGGGTTTGAATTCCTTCTGAGGCCAATGATTATGATTCATTAGCTGATATAGCTTTCTCTAGGCTTCTTCAAAACTGACAGCTGACCAAAACCACCAATTCCCCAATTAAACCCTTTATAAAACATTGCTCCTAAACAAATTTTCAAGGTAGTAGACCAGGAAGGCACCTGATCCTCAATAATAAATTTGTTTTTGGGACCTCTATTGTGAAAAGTTTTTTTCCACTGGAAAAAATGCACATGGAATCTCCCTTTACTTGGCTCCTGAGGCCAATGATTATGATTCACTTGAGGCCAAGGGGGGGGCGAAAGCTAGCGCTCCAGAATGGGAAAGTGGAGGGCAGCGAGGTAGGAAAAAACACGGCGCTCTTTTTGGAGGCAGGGGTGAAGAGTCCTTTATATGTGGCTCTTTGCCCGGATCCTC